TGGAAGAATCAGGCAAACTAAAGTGTTTTCATTCCAAAGCAGAGCACTACTCATTAGGTTGAGGTAGTGTTATTTAATGCTGTTGGTGGTATAGGAAATGCCAGGATCGCCAACTGAAATTCTATTTTCAAATGATCTGATGAATTGTAAATATATATATATATAGGTCTGGATGCATATGTTTATCAAAAGAGGCTATGTGTTTGAGCATGCCAGGAGGAAGAAAACCCTCCATTCCCCCCCCCCTCCATTACCATGAAACCACTAAGAAATCTGGCAATTAGATAAAGTACCATGATTAAGTCAGTATCAACTTTCTTTTCATTCTTCTTATAGTAAATAAGGCAGTAGGTATTCTGGATGGGTGTCTAGAATGAGAGTCTGGAATCAACTAATAAACTCAACTAAGACAATTAAGATAGCTAAACTTGTTCTCATCTGTTTCTGGAAAACAAACTTTTTTAAAAAATCCCACTCTTAATTTTGGGCAAGCAAGCATTCTTTGCAGAACAGAATACTTACCACCAAATTCTGGTTACTTATCTTCACTTTCAGAATGTGAGAAATTGTTTCTGGAAAATGCCCTGACACAAAGTCCAGAACATTGTAGTAGGGGCATTATCAGTGAATATATTTAATATTTAATTCATGTCTATACAGTAAGATCTGAAAGTATTAAATATTATTATCTCAGAATTGAAGTTTCAATTTCCAGGATTTATTTAGAATACATATATTAAATCAAACCCTGAGTGACCAGAGGCAACACTATTAAAAGATCATCTTTTCCTGTAGAGATAGTCCTTAACTTATTATCACAATTGAGTCCAAAATGTATGTTGCTAAGTGAGAAATTTGTCAAATGGGTTTTTCCCCATTTTATGATTTTTCTTGCCACATTTGTTAAGTGAATCACTGCAGTTGTTAAATTAGCAACTAGATTGTTAAGTAATCTGGTTGGACACTGCAACTGTCTTAAATATGAATCAGTTATCAAGCATCTGAATGTAAATCACGTGACCATGGGGATGTTGCAACAGTCATAAGTGTGAAAAATGGCCATGTAACTTTTTTTTAGTGCCACTGTAACTTTGAACGGTCATTAAGTGGGTTATTTTAATTCGAAGACTACCTATACAGTGGTTTTTCCTTTCCTTACAAGGAAAGTCTAAATATAAAACAATACTTTCATGTAGAATGTCATTTCTCAACTTACACAGAAAAACTCATGTACATTCAAGAGGCATTTTAAAATACTGAATGAATATTATAAACTTTATGCCAGTACCATATCCCCTCAATAGTAAACAGCACCCACACCAAGACAGAAGAACAGGATTTAAATTATAAGCACACTTCCATAACCTAGACACAAACACATAAGGAAACTGATAAAATATCAAATATTATATATACAGGTTTGACAAAGCAAACTGTTCTAATAGTTTAAGTAACAGCAGTATGAATATTCTCATTTCATCACTTTAACATAATCCTGGATGAGAACCTGATATACTTAATTTATGTAACTGATCTATGTAATTTTCATAGAAAAGTTTTCATGGGGCAGCAGTTTGTAATAAAGTGGTTTTTCGTTTCTTTATTCTTTACCTTTATAATTTATGTCACTAGGCAGATTTATATTAAAGCATATTTTTTCAAACAAAGGAATTAACCAAGGTAATTATATTTAATAGGATTTAACATAGTGAACAAGCACATTATTTAATCTTGAATTATTTCCCAATAATCCAATGCTTTAGCTTCCAACCCAAAACTGAGCTAACAAGAACATACAAATGGTTCCAGCTCAAAATGTTTTTATGCGAAAAAAATCATTTTTAGTGTTTCTGAATTTTTTTCTAAACTTCAAAACAAAGAAAGTATGTTTTTACATTGTTTCAAGTATTTGCATGCCCTATTTTTTTTTCATAGTTTTCCCAGCATCTTTAAAGGTTCTCTATTTCCTAATTAAAAATAAAGTAAAACAAAAAACCATCAATAATATCATGATGAGGGAGGAGAGGCAGAGAGACGAGGATCTATTAGAAAAGATATACATGGAACAGGCTTAAGTTTCATATGGTTATTTTGCTGCTGTTGCAGCAGCTGTGATACCATCTGCCACCATATGAAAAAAAATCACCAGTACTTGGCTATATTATCTTTCATTTGCATAGGAAGCCTTGTTTTATCAACCTAGGGACTGAAATTCAGCTCAAGACCAATGGTGATCCATGTACAACCAGCAGATACTAGGTTAAAGAGATCCTGAGATTAGTAACTTTAACACTTAAGTAAAGATTTATATTGCACTGCCTAAATCCAACTCTAAGCAGAAGAATCAGCAGAAACAAGGTCCCAGAACAACCCAAAAAGGTTAGCAGAGGCAAGGATACAAAAACATTTGTGGTATCAGGTCCTGGGCTTTAGCAAAACATCCCTGAAAATGCTGGCAATATTAGGCAAATTGTGTTTCCAACTATCAAAAAGATAAAAGCACCCAAAAGATTGTGGGATAGGAATTACAAGTTAACAATGTCAATAAAGAAAACTTATATAAATTTTACAGATGGCATTTTGCACCAGCATGGTTGGCAAGGATGTTTAAAGACAAATCAGCTAAATGCTGGAAGTGCTACCAGACACCTGACTCATATTATCATATTTGGGGGACTAGCTTAAAAGCAAAAAAATATTGGACAAAAATACATACATGGTTGGAAAAAATGATAAGAGAACATATTGATTTAAAACCAGAAATATTCTTATTGAGGATTCTACCTGAAAAATACAGCAAGGAAAAGGCATATTTAATTATTCATATATTAACTGCTGCTAAAATTGTATTTCCACAAAACTGGAAGAGTGAAGAGAGTATACTGAAGTGACTACAGATGAGAGTATGATTAGGAAAATATTAGAATGTACAGAAATGAATAGATTAACGCTGGCAATTAAGGAAAGAGTGCAAACTGAATACTATATGGTATGGGATCTATTTTACCAATCATTAAATAATAAAAACGGAAGTTAGAAATAGGGAAACAAAATAAAGAAGATACGCTAAAAGTGACAAGTAAATACTAAGACTAGTAAGTTAACATTGTATAAATAATATGTGGAATATTATTAAGTTAAATATTGAAGAATTAATATGTAATGAAGTATGTTATAACTTTGATTATTGTTTAACAAAGATATTTGTACCCAGAAAACACACTGTTCAATTGAAGATGGAATGCTTATATTAAAAATTAAAAAATATTAAAAAAAGATAAAAGCACCTTTTTTGAAGAAGATGAAGCTGCCATAGTAATTGTAGCAGTAATCCATAAGCAAATAGCCTTCAACATTACTGGAGGGTACATGTGCTATTGCCCAAATAGTTTCAACAACTACTCATATTCAATTTGGAAAATGTCCAACTGTTTCTTCTCTCCCCCATTACAGAATCCCCTTGTGCACCCTTTCAACACTGACAATTGAAACGCGTGATGTAGGACTGCAGGATATTTCTATGAAAGTGTGAAAGAATGAAGGTGTTCAACAAGAAATACTGCACACTATCCTGACATGCGTTACAATTTGATACAGCATCATATACTTTCTCTTGTGCAACCAGTTAGAAAAAGGAGACACAATTTAGTTCCTTTGGACAGCAGAAATAGAAACTTGTCTCCAAGGCCTTCCGTGCTTGAATGTTGAGAAGACATACTAAGCCAGGTTTTTCCCAAAACCATGTCTTTGGGAATGGCCAGGGTTACCATACCATAAGATCCTAGAAAGGCACAGCTTTGACAGACCAACTGAGAACTTGAACATACATTGCGGGCTGGATCTCTCTGGATACTAAAGACACTATGTGCTGGCAAGCATATACAACTGGATAGGAGCGCAGCATAAGTTGAATTAGTCTTGAGTCAACTTTTAAGAGGAATGTTTTTAGTAATGATATACCAAGGCAGGGAGATTACCTAGTTACTTGCATTCTCGATGTCTCAAGTTTTTGATAAGCAAAAGAGGAGCAATATTGTTTTGAATAGTCAATGCACAGATCTAGCTTAACCTAACAAGGTCTGGGCAGTGGTATACTATATTCTTGTCAAACAGTGTCTTGAGCAAAATAGTATTCTCCATGGCAGGTGATGGCCATCATTCACACTTACGTTGTGATTTAGTGATGTAGCTGGCCTTCCTCACAATTTATCCTCCATCAGACTTCCTCATCTGTGACTGAAGGATAAGGCCTATCTCTATCTTCACTCAGAACAGCAGCAACTACCAGTGCTACGCCAATTACTGATTTGCCTAAATTTGGCAGAAATAATTGACTCTGAGATCATAAGGCTACATCAGAAACTACCTTGTGTACCTTTGTCCAGATAATGTCTGAAACACTCAAAAAGATTCTAGGCAATTATTCTATAGATTAGATGCCAGGGAGCAATCAGGCTAGATTACTACCCATTATTTTTGCAGCCACAGGAGAATAAAGACTGCTTCATGTTCCAGTATTAAGAAATACCATTCAAAATGTTTTGAGTTTTCTTTGTGAGGATCTAACCCACTCAAAACATTCAAATGGAATATTCTGTATAAGTTTAGTTTTGTTTTGTTTTAAAACTTTTTTTCTGTTCCATGAATATTCTTTAACCATAACGGCCATATCAGATAATACACAATTTTAGGACCAATCCAAATTAGTAACATTGCAACTTAAATCCAGCTTTTTACATCAATGTAAAGTTAATCCTCACATGAATTTAAATCATTAGCAATACAGGCAGATTTGTGTATGTAACTAAAAACTTTTTTAAAAAATTATGAAGGGGGAAAAAAACAACCCTTATAAATTAATTAAAAAAATAGCGAAAGAAAAAGAGCAATTAAATTATCAAATTTCTGGAACATAAATACTTTAAACAGACATACGTATTTTAACATACCCCTCTAGAGGGAAAAAAATATGCTTACCTGTTAAAAGAAAAGTTTCTTACCTGTTAAAAGAAAAGTTTATAAAGGGAAAAAAAGTCTAGTCTTCTTGGCTCTTTGCCCATCACAAGGTATCCTGGCAACAGCAAAATCTTTCAGTCTACAGTATTAGAAGATTAGAGACTGAATTAGGTTAAGATGCAGCAGATTTCTTCCTACAAAAACAAAAACAAAACAATCACATCAATATAAAATTTAATTAGCCAATTCAATTAGAAACAGATCAAAAAGATAAATATACAGAGTTATCAATGGCTACATAGGAGATAACAATTAGGTTATATATTTATGAAAACATATAGCAGCCTGTTTTTTTTTCTTTTTACATGTGCTTTTTTTCCATGAAATTTGAAAATACCAATTGAGGGGGGAGAGGCCAGATGTTCAAGTAGGCTTTTGAAAAGGTTGAGAAACATGAGGCATTATTGCTGATACACACTAGACAACTGAGAAAGCCAAGAATATTAAAAACACATCACTCTGTACTTCACTGATTATATAAATCTTTGTATAATCAGTGAAGCGCAGAGAGACTTTTTTGATATTTTTCAATTATGTCACACATCAAGGTGTGAAAATTACTCTGAAAAATGGGAATCCCAGAATATATTATTGTCCTCATGAGAAACTCAGATCATGAACCCATAGTACAGATAGGATATGGTGAAACAGACTAACTCCAGGTTGAAAATTAGTGCAAAGATCATAATTGTGCATGCCTGTACCATTCTACAGAAGCGAAAGTTGGACTCTGAAGAAATAAGGTAGGAAGAATAGTGACACTTGTGAACTTTTTGTTGGAAAGAATTTCTGAGAATATTGCAGATAGCCAAGAAAACAAATGGATCACTGAATAAAACAACCCAGAGTTCTTTTCCCCAAACTCCACTAAATTGTTAGTTACATATCTAAAAAAAAGGAAAGATACCATAATCTTAAACTGGTACACAATGAGAGTGAAAAAACAAAACATGCAGCCAAATTATTGTTCAGTTTCCTAAACCACGAATCAAGTTCTATTAGTAAAATCTGGAGCAATTTGCAAAAGGCTGGCAAAGAACTTTGGCTTCCAGTATTTTAACAGCAACAAGAAAATAACTATCCATTTAATTAGGTTATTAAAATCAAAAACCCTAGAAGTATCCTACCAGTAGAAGTAAATATTTATAAATATGAACTCAACACTGTTCTAGAACTAGAAACAACATCAACTGCTCAGAACATGTCCCTGTTCTTTGTACCTTTGCTTCTGCCTGAGATAGCTCTTAAGTTTCTTGAAAACCAAAGCAAATTCAACAAGATTAACTTCTGCTTCCTCTATTAAATGTAACCAAAAAAGTTACTCAAGTAAGATTAGCATGCCCTCTTTGTGAAACTACTCAAAAACACTAAAGAGAATAAACACACGCTTACAGACTGGAGACTGTGAAACTTGACACCATTAAAAAGAAGAAAAATCATTTTTAGAATAGGCTTATACAACATGCTATATCATGTGATTCATTTGGTTTTGGCTTATTTTGTATGAACCCATTCACTATTGTTGATAAGCCCTTTTTAATAATTTGTTTTCTTTTTCAATAAATATATATAGGTATGTAGTCTCTTCTCAGCAAATGTTTTATCATGTACCTTGGACTAAGCCTGTATCAATCTTAAATACACTGTTCAAAAAAATAAAGAGAACACAAAAGTAAGACATCCTAGATCTGAATGAATGAAATATTCTCATTAAATACTTTAAACACTTTGTTCATTACATAGTTGAATGTGCTGACAACAAAATCATACAAAAATTATCAATGGAAATCAAATTTAGCAACCCATGGAGGTCTGGATTTGGAGTTACATTCAAAATTAAAGTGGAAAAAAACACTACAGGCTGATCCAACCTTGATGTAATGTCTGTAAAACAAGTCAAAATGAGGCTCAGTAGTGTGTGTGGCCTCCACGTGCCTGTATGACCTCCCTACAATGCCTGGGCATGCTCCTGATAAGGTGGCAGATGGTCTCCTGAGGGATCTCCTCCCACATTTGGACTAAAGCATCCCCCAACTCCTGGACAGTCTGTGGTGCAACATGGCATTGGTGGATGGAGTGAGACATGATGTCCCAGATGTGCTCAATTGGATTCAGGTCTGGGGAATGGGCGGACCAGTCCATAGCATCAATGCCTTCATCTTGCAGGAACTGCTGACACACTCCAGCCACATGAGGTCTAGCATTGTCGTGCATTAGGAGGAACCCAGGGCCAACCACATCAGCATATGACAAGGAGTCTGAGGATCTCAGCTCGGTACCTAATAGCAATCAGGCTACCTCTGGCAAGTACATGGAGGGCTGTCCAGCCCCCTAAAGAAATGCCACCCCACACCATTACTGACTCACTGCCAAACCGGTCACGCTGGAGGATGTTGCAGGCAGCAGAACGTTCTCCATGGCGTCTCCAGATCATGTCATGTCTGTCAGATGTGCTCAGTGTGAACCTGCTTTCATCTGTGAAGAGCACAGGGTGCCAGTGGCGAATTTGCCAATCTTGTTCTTCTCTGGCAAATGCCAAACGTCCTGCACGGTATTGGGCTGTAAGCACAACCCCCTACCTGTGGATGTCGGGCCCTCATACCACCCTCATGGAGTCTGTTTATGACCGTTTGAGCAGCCACATGCATATTTGTGGCCAGTTGGAGGTCATTTTGCAGGGCTCTGGCAGTGCTCCTCCTTCCCTCCTTGCACAAAGGCGGAGGTAGCGGTCCTAATGCTGGGTTGTTGCCCTTCTACGGCCTCCTCCACATCTCCTGATGTACTGGCCTGTCTCCTGATAGTGCCTCCATGCTCTGGACACGACGCTGACAGACACAGCAAACCTTCTTGCCACAGCTCGCATTGATGTGCCATCCTGGATGAGCTGCATTACCTGAACCACTTGTGTGGGTTGTAGCCTCCGTCTCATGCTACCACTAGAGTGAAAGCACTGCCAGCATTCAAAAGTGACCAAAACCATCAGCCAGAAAGCATAGGAACTGAGAAGTGGTCTGTGGTCACCACCTGCAGAACCACTCCTTTATTGGGGATGTCTTGCTACCTGCCTATGCTTTCCACCTGTTGTCTATTCCATTTGCACAACAGCATGTGAAATTGATTGTCAATCAGTGTTGCTATCTAAGTGGACAGTTTGATTTCACAGAAGTGTGATTGACTGGGTATTACGTTGTGTTGTTTAAGTGTTCCCTTTATTTTTTTGAGCAGTGTAGATCATTAGGGATTAAGCATCTGATACAATTTTACATTTTACAACCAACCCAAAAAAGTTATTAAATACTTGTAGCATTTGCTGCATAGACTTTGAAATTACATAATAATTCATCTTATTCATGTTCTCCTTTAAAAGAACTAGTATTCAAAATAGAGTGGTTTGTAATTGAATGCATTAAGGCACTGAAGTTTCTTAAATTACCAGACCCTGCCTGTTAGGCTCATTTTTTAGTTTTAATGCTATTTTGTTCATTTTATTTCAAATGACCTTCACATATATTTTGAGAAGGGATTCCATTTCTTAAACATTCTACACTCTGCACTAATATATTAGTAATTGCATTTCTCAGTTTACAGTTTAGTATATAATAACAAAAACAAACTGAACGAGTGCATCAATGTATGTACGGATAGTCCTCAAGTTACAATGTCAACTGGGGCTGGAATTTCTGTTGCTAAGCATAAAGTCATATGATCATCTCGCTTAGCAATGGCAATTCCAGCATGAGTCATTAAGCAAGGATCTCATGTGACTGTGATTTCTGACGTGCTGTCAGCTTCCCCATTGACTCTGTTTGTGGGAGACTGGCAGGGATTGTTGGAAATCATGATCCCATGACTGTGGAAACCCTGCAATGGCTAAGTACCATTCACTCGGTACTTTGGTAACTTTGAACAGTCACTAAACAATGGTTGTACCCTGAGAACTATATGTATATAGAATTCATTAAATTCTATATTCATTTAAGTAATACTGCTGAAATTAGGGCAAAATACAACATTCCACCCTGTAACAAAAAATAAAAAATACAAACATATTACAGGTATACAGAAAGAAATTTTATATTTAAGGAGGAATAATCCAAGGCAACCTGCTTTTCTCTCACACCATTATTTCTATTTCACAATGGTTGCATTCCCAGATAAACTATAACATGGTGTCCTCTTGACTCACCATGATGAGCACATTTTATCAGGGTGGATTTGATTTAAACCAAGTCCATTTAAATCACGATTTAAATCACTAGTAAAAAAGCTTGAGTTAAACCAACTTGATTTAAATCAACATTTTTAAAGAGCAACTGTCATCTCTGTCCTGCAGCAGCTCCTCCTCTGACCCACTGTTGACTGACAGTCCCATTCACTTTAACGGGATGGCTAGTGATGCGGCAGTGATACAATAAGGTGAAGGACGTGGCAGGCAGCAGGTGAGTGGATGCCCGCTAACAGGCACTGCCATGATGGATCTGAAATGACAGGCACTCTTTAAATGTAAAGACTCATTCTTGCTGGTAGTTAGAATCCAATTTAAATGGGGAAAAATCCATTTTTTTATTTTTAAAAATCATAGATTTTTATCCACATAATGCATTTTATCCATTATAGTTGAGCACCATATATAAATTAGATTAGTTATGAAAAAGTTATGAAGTTATAAAAAACTTCCAGATTTTTTCATCATCATCCAGCACATCCTATCATGTTCTGACAAAATTTACTTTATAACCATAAAAAAGATAGTACTAGATACAAAAGATGGAAATAATTATTAGAAATAAAATTATTTCATATATTCTCACTTATGTATTTTGGGTAGCATTCTTTTCAAAAGGAAGAAAAAAATGAATATAGTCCCTCCTGTTTTTTTTAACCTAAGCAATTTCTTAAAACATTTAAATATCATATTACATTATCGCATGGCTACCAATTATGTTCGTCCTAGACGGAAGTTTTCCACCTAAATTGAGATGATAATTCATCTGACTAAAGCTGAATTAATTTATTTCAAATTATCCACCTAAACTCCAGATCCAGATGCTGTTAGATACTAAATGATCACTGAAACTATTATTTAATTGACACCTGTGTGGGGTTGTTATATTATTTTATTAATTTATTATGTGATTATTCTCTTTTATTAGCTTTATTATTCTATATGAGGTTTTATATTCCTTTAAGCCTCCTTGAGTCGCCATGTGTGAATAAGGGGCAATATACATTTCCTAAAATAAATTTATATCATACCCTATTTTGAACTTAAAAATACTAGTATTATTTTAATAATTTAAACTTTATTAAAAAAAAATAAAAAGTGAAGCTAAATCATGCATTTAATATCTTAGAAGGCTGTCTTTCTTGTCAATATTTTTAAAAGAAATTAGTTACACTAGAATTATATCTCCAAAAGCATAAAGTTGTGAACATTTTCCCCATGTATTTGTTATCAAATTGCTACAGTGTGTCCTATCATGAAAAAGCATTTGTTCACCTCTACACTTTCCCCAGCAGCATGATCAGCAACTTGGGGGGGGGGGTAATTTTTGTAAACAAAAAAGTATTATCTCAAACTTTGTAGCCTCATTTAATTCAGTGTCTTCTGTCAAAGAAGATTCTGAATGAAGAATATTTTCTCAGAAAAAATATTGCATAAAAATATTTTGATAATGGATTTCTAGTGTCCAGTTTCATTTAGAAGAAAACCTTAGTATCACTAATTTACTATTTGTTTTAGAGACATATTACCACAGAGTAGGACTAGTTTATTGCCCAGTTAATTTCAGTAAATAAAGAATCATCTGAATTCTACTTAAGAATTGTTTTAGCATCATCTATTATCTTTTTTCACACTTCTGCAATTAAAGAAACACCATAACTTGCAAGAATGTGCATTAAATTTAAGAACACTTCCGCCTCTTATTTCAAGTAACTTTCAGAAAAATAGAAGACCAGGAAAATTTCCGCATCCCTCTGCATTCCTAATCAAAAGTGCTTTCTTCAGTAACCAAGTATATATGAAACCTAACCCTAACCCTTAAAGTAGAATTCCCTCCACTTGAGCTGGTAATACATGGGCACGTCTAAACTGTCTTTGAGATTATTATAACCTTAGCTGTTTTTTAAAATATCACAATCTCAATCCCTAACTTGTAGGATTCACAGAACTGAATTTCATTACTGGATGTTTTGTATCCTACATACAGTAGATCTCAGTAATAAGAATATTCCGTTTCCAATAAATAGGTCAGTAAAAATAGCTTTGACTTTTTTTTAAAAAAAGACAAATGAATTCTCAAAGCAGCTGAAAAAAACAAAAGAATTTTATAGTTAAACTCTGTGGCATTCTATGTTCTATAATATAGATATCCAAATTTCAATTAGTCTCAAAAAAACAAGCAGGATCTAACCTGTTTGCAGGAACATCATGCAATAAAGGCAATTATAAATTATTATGTATTGTTGCCACAAAACTTCCAAAGTCATGTCCATAGGAGACCAGGACTTGAGTTTGACTTGAAAGCAACATTACCTTTTCAATGTGGTAGTAAAGAGAATAGTAAAGAATATGAAAAATACACCACACACTCTAGCCCAGGGATCTCCAACCTTGGCAACTTTAAGACTTGTGGACTTCAACTCCCAGAATTCCTCAGCCAGCATGGTTGAAGTCCACAAATCTTACAGTTGCCAAGGCTGGGGACCCCTGCTCTAGCCAATATAAATTTTTAAACTCTTACAGAATTGAGAGGTGCAAGAATCACAGGTAGCACATGTATGAAAACAGAACATAAAAATTCAAACCTGGAAGACTAGTACTTTCACAAATCAAGCTTGAGATGCCCAGAGAATAAAGGATCAATGGTTTTAAAATATTGATGGTTCATACTAACCAAGCACATCACATGGCATTAAAAAAGTAAAAATTAAAAAATCCTTCCTGACCCTAATATTGCTGGATGTATATACAAAATTACATTATATTAAGGTCTGGGAATGGAAGTAATCCAGTCTAAAATTTACCACATATCTAGAGTTGTTTATACTTCTTAGTTACAACTCATATTATTCAGTAAATTGACATTCTTAAACTTTGTGGTGCCATGATCCCCTAAACTAAAAGAATTTATGAGGGCCTCATGCAAAAAACAAATGCGTGTGATAACCTCACCAGTAACAGATGCATAAATAATGAAATAAGCATGTCATTTGACAGGTACCTGAAGTAGGGGATGTATCCCTCAGTTGAGAAGCAAATAGCATCCACAACTTAGAGAACTACCTTCACACCCTGAGAAGAGCCTACGTAGGGAGGCCAGCACACAAGGAATACCCTCCAGAAAGATCTGCAGTAGAGCATGCTGGCCTCCTGTTATAAAATATCAACACAAAGTTTGCATTGGGTTCAATATCAAGATATAACATGACAAACGTACTAGGGAAAGCCATCTTGGAAGAGGGAAAAAGATAAAATTAGCAGGAGTCAGTGCTGAAACTACAAAAATTGTTGAAGTCAATCACATCTGGATATTGTATATGGTTGTGTCTAGCACTAGCATCTTGGAGGAGATCACTAACTTCCAGACATATGAAACAACTGTGGCCCACTCTGTTCCTGTCCTCCACAGTTTGAAAACTCCTGCAGTGTTATCTATTACAGCATGGTCAATTCAATTTGATAGTAGCTGTCGATTACCTGGCAGACATAATGCTATAAGTATTAAATATTTAAGTTATCTTTACTGTGATGCATTTATTTATTCAGGTTTATGGCTGCCCAACTCCCAGTGACTGAAGGAGGGATACAAATTTAAAAAATCATAAAATAATACATATCAAAACCACCAAATAAATTGGCGATCAAAGACACTAACCAAAATAACATCCCACTTTCTAGAAATGGATTTATTCAACACTCTGGCCCTATGCAAGAAAGGCAAGACTTTAAGAGCCTTACAAAAGGTCAATATGATTGGGGTCATCCTAATCTGGTGGACAGGAAAGGGAGAGAAGCTGTTAAGCAGACCAGGCTCCCTGATAGAGAAACCACACTTCTTGGGTGTCATAATCCCATTGCTTGATGGAAAGGCCCCAGAGAATGCCAACACTGTCAGACTTGGTGGAAACTAAATAAAGTTGTATAGAACAATACCAGTAAATATGATATTGAACTCAAGATACCTCTAAAAATGATTATGCAGTTTAGATATTAGCACTGTTGAATTGAAGCAGCACTTATATAAACACTGTGCAGCATTTTATTAAGATTCAGTTTTGTAGCAAGAGACCTACACCTCTACTTTGGAAATAATTAATGATTACTTCAAAAGATTTTAGAGCACTATCATTTAAAAAAAAACAGTTGAAGTTAACATTTTCTCTTATGCCCAAGTTAAGGCAATGGGGAATGTTCTAAATGCAATGGGGGAAAATTACAGACTAATCAGGAGGTAGCTTTATTCACATGGGATAATGCGTTTTCGATCCTTCTTCACTAATGTTGAATGAACATATTATTTCATTCAGAAATAATAGAAATGAATTTGAGCTATTCTCACCGCAAATCAAAATCCTGGGTTCAGGCAGCCACGATCTGAAAACCAGCCTAGCTCTCTCTGCCTTTACAAACAGTTGACCTCAAATCTGGAGTCCAGAAGTTACCGAGCCATGTTTTACATACCAATTAAGAAGAAAACATTATGATTCAAACGATCGTTTTGATTCCCATTCATCTAACAACAGGAAAGGACATGAATGGCGTTCCTTACATTGCCAGGGAAAGCCAAGCAAAGGACTACCGGGAAGCCTGCGGGGTGGCAAGAAAACAATACGTGGGAAAGCACGAACCCGTGTTGGAGGTTCTTCTCATTCTTGTCGGGGAAGGGGCCCTTAATGGAAATCCCGCTCGTCCCATGAAGCAGCAGTGTGTGGGGAGGGCGGAAAGCAGAGCCCCCGCCCACACCGACAGTAAAGGGAGAAAGGACGCAGGCCCGCTGCGACAGAGAATCGAAGGCCGGGCGGGGGGGGGGGGAGTGCACTCAGGAAGCAAAACAAACCGGATCACTAGGCCGCTGCCGCTCCAAGTTACGAGCCAGAGGGAAGCATTCCGCCCCCCGCACTTCAAGACGCCGAAGAGCTGGTGGTGGCGACGGAAAAGCGAAGCCGGCCTCCCGGCTCCCGTTCCTTCAGGACCGCTTTCCTGCTGCTTCCTGCCGCCGACGCGTTTCTTCAAACGAAGCAAACCACCATCGCTGCCACCCCCGCCCCGCTCCGCTCTCCCCTGCCCTGGGCCTACGAAGAAGGGGCGGCCGCAAGCTCCTCCCCGAAGGCAGATGAACTCCCGAAGCCCCTACTTCAGCGAAGAGGCCTCCCGCTCGGGCAAGCCAACCCCCTGCCGCCACTCAGGCGGGAAAACTGCGGCTCCCTACCATCATCGACTCTTCAAGATGGCGGTCATATCGGCTTCTTCGAACCCTCCTGTCTCCGTCCCCCCATTCCTGCCAATCAACCCTCCACAGGTCACGCCTTCGCCCAGCAGGTTTTTTTCTATTGGACGCTGGCTAAACTTTCTGTTTTCTATTGGTTCCAGAGCGTAGTCGATCATAAGGTAACCGATTCGCTATTGGGTAACAAAGGGATAAAGGCCGAGGTCACGGCTTCATTTAACCCAATCAGCGTATTCGGATGGGTGACTCCGGATTCCCACTGTCACGCCTTAGCAACAAATGTACGTCACTTTGAAAGACTTTCAGATTGCCCAACTACTAAGTTCCATTCCGTTTAAAAATAAACCAATGGCGGCCAATCATTCTAGGGTTCAGTCCAATTGCAAGCCACGGGGGGCATAGCTGAAGTGCCTCCTCCCACGGCGCTGGTTACTAACGAACGTGCTGTCCTATTGGACAACATGAGAGCCAAAATTATCGTCATAAAATTAAAGAACTAGAACAGCCTGACAACAACGGCTTCTTTTATAGATTGGGGAGGGGTTAGAAATCTGTCGGTCACTTAAAATGGCATTTCTAACCAACTTCAGTCTCCTTGTTCCGAAGGGGAATTAGCTCAAATGGTAGAGCGCTCGCTTAGCATGCGAGAGGTAGCGGGATCGATGCCCGCATTCTCCAGTTTTAGAGGTCATATGTATTGTGAAAAATAAAGTCTTCACAAGTTTGTGGTGGTAATAGTAGTATTTTTCTCAAACAGTGGCTCTAAATTATATTTTCTCCCACCGCAGAGTTGCACGCACTAAGGATTAAATCCTTTTATCCTCGATATTCTGTAATCT